ATAGACCTGGCAGGTGATGAGTCACTCAACTGTGAAGCCAATCCAGATCACAGGAAGGCCTACGAGGTGAGCTATGTGTGAGGCTGACGCGCACGCAGCACGTGGGAAAGAGCGTGACTGGATAAACAACAGATTGTTGGGCTGCTTCATGGGGGGGGGGGCTGAGTCAAAGCCAGTGATTTCACAACACCAATGCGAAAGCCACATTTCACTGGACGGATGTGGACATTTCTCAGGCAACGATGCGGCTCCTCTGGTCTTCTTGTGGCTCCCACAGTAAATACAACCTGAAGCGGCCCAATGCTTCACACGCGGTGTAATGTAGGCGTGGCAGATGTGGTAAATGGTGAATATGGCCCAAATAAAGCGAAACCAATCCGGGACACCTTTGGCACCTTCGGTTGACATGCGTCAGCATGTGGGCCAGATGACAGCGTGGGCCAAATCGATTTTGCTATGTCAGAGTGTTCGTGCAGGTTTTCTCTTGGAACTCCGACTTTTTTTTTACAAATTCCAAAGATTGGGGTTCAGGTTAATATTAAATTGACAGTAGGTGTAAATGGTTTTTTGTTTGACCCTGTGGTGATCTGGCAACCTGGGGTCGCCCTCTGGCTGGAGGAGGTGGATGGATGCAATATCTCGACATGAAGGAGGATTGGCTCAGTTTCTTTTCCGTTCTTTCTTCCCGGATGATGTATTTTTAATGACTTCCCCTAAGTTTTTCATCCAGGAAGTATCTTTGCGAATCCTTCCGTCCATTATCTACATAGTTATCGATCGTGGGGTCGACTGTTAGAAACAAACAACCGTTCACTCTCCTCTCCGGACTCTGTAGCTGCACATGTTCGGACTGTGGGAGGAAGCTGAAGGAACCCCACACAGAACCCAGGGTTTGATCCAAGATCCTTCGTGCCGTGTGATGGTAGCCACTGCGCCACCGTGCCGCCCAGCCTCTGTCATACTTTGTGTAGTGCTTGATAGGAAGAGCTGCTAAACCTTCAGACAGCACTGAGCTCAACGTGCCCAGCGACACAGACCTGCGAGCAGGAACATACAGGACATATGTAACGTGTTCTTCTTTATAGCTGCTCTCAGACTTGTGATCCTGAAGGACACAGTCGGCTTGTTAACGTGCTGATGCTGCTTTGTCAAACAGGTTCAGGTTGAACAGCTGACGGACGCTTTTACTTATCAACTCAGGATTTTTTTCCCAGATGAGAACTTTATGCGTAACCAACACAGTGTGGCAGTAAAATCAATTACTCCAAACCTCTTAACCTCCCAAGCTTCTCAGAAGTTTGGTTTTCAGGCAGAATCAAGTGAGAAATTCAGAATTGTACCTGTCAGAGCATAACTAAGGAGATAATCAGTTTCACAGACTAATTTAAAGATAAATAAAGATTCGTGTGATAGCTCTGGGCGAGAAGCTGTGAACGAGTTCTTCACATTTCTTTAACCGCTTCGACTTGTGACCAGGGAGTTAAAATACAACCAGTTCAAAGTCGTTCTATCAATAATTCATAGGATAATCATAAAATCACAATAACTCTGTTGCACAATGGTTTATAAGTGTAGTATTTGTAGATGTTGCACTAATTCTGTCCCTTAACAGCCATCAAACCTCAATAATGACAATATACCACTCCAATAAAAAGATGCTAAACCATATGATAACCCAGATTTGCAAAATAAGCTCAAATCAGGTTATTGTGCTGCTTTTGTTGTAATTATGTGCATGCATGTCCAAATTCAGGACTCAGAAATACTTTTTTGCAGCGTACGTGACATGATGTTCTGTTATATTCACATCGTAAAACAGTGAAACATCTGTCTTACATCCTGTTTTAAATTTATGAAACGTGCTTCAATTGTGAGCGAGAAGCAAAAGTGACAGTCTCTATGGAATCTCCCCTCAGTGTGTCCTGGTGGCAGGAAGCTGAAACGAAAACAGATGTTTCATACGAGAGCGTTGTCGTCTGTGTGTTTGGTTTAAACTTTGTAACTTAGTAAACAGTCGTTCTTTATTTATCTGTTCATCCGGTGGAGAAAGTAAAAAACAAATATAAAATACCCGCTGCAGATGTGAAAACCAGATGTTTGTCCCTGCTGTCCCCGTTGCTTATGTGCTCCGTGATTGATTTCGTTTACAGGAAGCAGTGCGTTGTGGGATCCACAGGACGGTGCACGCAGGAGAGGTGGGTCCGGCCTCAGTGGTGAAGGAGGTAAGCTGCCGCACAACAAAGTGTGACATTTCTCAACCGGGTGGAGTCACATACAAACAGAAGAAACTGGTTTCATGTATAGTTTCTCCAGTGGATGGGTTTTAGATGGAAATAAGAAGTGCCAATCAGAAATATATTTTAAAGTTGACTAACAAGGGCACACACACATTATTTGTTCCTGTTTGTATCGATCTCAGCTGCTTTTATTACAGAACACACACACACACGGCCAAAACAAAGTGGTCACTCTACAAGCGAGCCATCAAGTGAAAGTTCAGCCGTGTTGCAACAGCTGCACTAACATTAGCAGATTCTGCTGACATGTGCTACATGCAGGATTTGTTTTGTGCTTTAAAACCCTTTGCGTCGTCCCCGTGGCCCCGTCTGATACTTTAGGCGGTGGAGGTGCTGAAAGCTGAACGTGTTGGACACGGCTACAGAACCCTGGAGGACCAAGACCTGTATAAAAAACTACTCGCTCAAAACATGCACTTCGAGGTGAGCAATGCAGATATGCAGAATGTGCATGCGGTGGACTGACTCAGTGGTGATGCAGTGACCTCTAGTGGAGACGTACGTTCTCAGGCGATGTGCTGCTTTGATTGCAGGTGTGTCCTGTTTCCAGTATACTGACCGGTGCCTGCGACCCGGACTTCAGCAAACATCCCGTCGTCACGTGAGCCGCTTTTATTTACACCCAGGTGATGTTTAATGCAGGTTGATCACGTGGCATCGTTGGAGTTCACCTGTTTTGTCTGTGCAGCTTCAGGAAGGATAAGGCCAACTACTCCCTGAACACAGACGACCCTCTGATCTTCAACTCCAACCTGCACCTCGACTACAGCACCGCGCACAAGTACATGGGATTCACGGAGGAGGAATTCAAACGACTGGTGAGATCAAATGAATAATTAGAGGAGTAGTTCTCAGGCATTTGAAATGACGGCCTGGGCTGCAGATACCCTGTGCACGCTCAAAACTTTCTCTGCTTCTAATTAAAGCAGGAACAAAAGCTTACATGTAAGTGCTGTAAGACTGTGAGGACGTGTTCTTTACAACCACGTTCATCAGGATGGCAAAAGATTTTTTGGTAAATAGTTTGACATTTTGGATAAATGGCTTTTTGCAGAGATGGTTGTGTTTTAAATATGATGCTTCAGCCAGCAGCAGGTTTGTCTAGTTTCACAAAGAAGACTGGAAACGTGGAGCAAAAGAAAATCACAGCCATTGTGATTTTATACACTGGACTGAACAATTTGTTTATGCCAGCAGACCTGGCAACCCTGTCGCTCTGCTTGTGACTCAATCTGAGAATTTACTGATAATTAAAACGTGGTTGTGTTTCTGACTGTGGCAGGAAAAAAACCACACAGGCTGCAGAGATCTAACTAAGATTTTAAAACAGGGGACCTTGGTGTTGTTGTCGTTTTCTAGAACATCAAGTCAGCAGAGTCGTGCTTCCTGCCTGAGAATGAGAAGAAAGAGCTCCTCCACCAACTCTACGAGGCCTATGGGATGATACTGCGCACCGCCTTTTAAACCTCTGAGGAAATCTGAGAAGAAAACGCAACTTAACCGAGGATGAATCGCTCTAAACCCGTAAATCTCCTCCACCCGACACAGGAGAATGTGTTTTTCTCATTTGGAACCATATATATAACGCCTATAGAATAATAAATCATATGTGGCAGCCACGTTTTACCACACACACACACACACACACACACTATCTGTACATCATCAGCATGAGGGCATGTTTGTGTCTGTGTTCCATCCAGACACACGTACATAACATTAACACCAGTTCACAGAAAGTGGAGGATGTCATGGTGCTCTGCACAACAACGTGTCTTTTAAATCTAAACTCTGGAGTTTGTGTTTACATCTTGTTGTCTTACTGATTCTGAAAACTGCACGTCAGGTAAACACAGCTCAATACCAAAAGTCTAGTCGGACACTAGGTGGCACACTTCTGTCACTTAGATGCAGGAACCACTTAGTGTGGTTATGCATTTAATACTTGCTCTCAGTTCTCTTGATGTATATATTTATTTAAATAAAACTAATTCTGTTGGTAACTTCCACATTTCACACTTAATAACACCTTAATAAAAGCTTTTATGAAACGTTTCCTCGTGTCAGACTATTTCTTCAACTAATAAAACCTGCTCCTTTTATTAGGAACACCTGTGAAGTTTGTTAATATCCATTATTTGTTGACAAAAACTTTGATTTCAGTGGTTCGGATTTTTAAGGGATTTCCACTCACTGCAGAAAAATCCAGAGATCTGCAGTTCCTCTGTGATGAGGTCAGAGGAGAATGGATGGAGCGATCCGAGCTGACAGGAAAACAGAATGAACAACGCCTCAAACCTGGAGGCAGACGTGCTGGAACACCAGAGTCCACGTCAGGTTCAACAGAAATCTGAGGCTGCAGGGAAACAGACCCATCAACACTGGACAGACTTGAAACCCGAGGCCTGGTCTCATGGATCTGCGTTTCAGCTGATTTCATTAAGTGTAGATCCAAGTAGAAATCTGGAAGAAGTGAATTTGAATGTGTTTTCATGGGGGAGACTGAGCCCCGGAGCTCAGAATGATATTCCATTGTTCCTAATAAAGTGCTCAGGGAACGTGCGTGTTCTCAATCACAATATAAGTGGTTATAAAGATGAACACTTGCATTTGAAAAGATTGGTACAACTCACCACGTCACTGTGGCGAAGATGGAGCAGGTCGTCCTCTAAACAGACGGTCGGCGGTTCGATCCCAGTCCTCCTCATCTAGAATGCGGAAGCGTCCTTGGGCAAAGATACCGAACAAGTGCTGCCTGTAGATGCACGGTGTGAATGCATGTGAACGGCAAAGAAACTGTACTTAGAAGATCTTTCAGAGAGTTGAGACTAGAAAAGTTCTATATAAGTACATACCAGTTACCATAAACACTGCAAATCGTGACGTAGGTGGAAAAGTAAACTCTGGTTTCCTGTGTCTGTGCTAATGTACACAAACACTGTGTTCAGTAAAGATTGGTGGCTCTGGAACAACTCAGAGCTGACGTCATTAATCCTGGCTCGACTGGGACTCACCCCCCCCCCCCCCCCCCCCCCCCCCCCCCCCCCACCTCGCCGAGGCGCCGATGCCTGCGGTGTCCGGTAAAAAGCCAAACTAGAAATTAAACAGCACTTGAAAGCACAGAGCAGAAAAAGTTGCAGTAGTTCATAGTTATTTTATTACACAAAGAAAATTGCTATCACAAAGTTATCACTGAACATTTAGCAATAAATATGAAGTCCGCACACGACAGTTTAACTGCGACTATGTTTGTTACAAAAGAAAAAGAGAGACTGATGAAACCGAACGACGGGGTCACAAACTCACACACAGACGTAAAAAGAAAATGACACGTAGGTGATTATGAATATTCACTCGATGACACGGTTCCATATTAGTCTGGAACAATGTCTGAGTGAAGTTAAGCGAACTCTGTTCAGCTGAGTCCATCTCCACAGACGTGAATCCAGAGTTTCTGTGCTTTCTTGTCCGGTCGGGAAAACAAATGACCAACAGAGTCTGAAGAGGAAGCGCCTCCGCCGTCACCTCGACTCTGTTCTGCTCCGCATGTTGCAATAGGGTCCAATAAAAAGGCCGTGGAAGCTGCAGCCAGGCCGGCAGTGAGCGAAGGTGTCTCGTGTCTCGTTGGGACAAAACAACACTCTCTCTTTCCGTTCTCCACTTTCACCCGCTTCCACTCCTCTCTCCTCGGCTCTGCCCCCATCAGTCTCCGCCGGCTGAGTTTAGGACGGGCCTCCGCTTCCCTGGGCATCTTGGCTGGTGGAGCCCTCCGCCGCAGGGGCTGGGGAGGCCCCCGGGTCTCCTTCTGGGGGGGACAGACATGGAAATCAGTCAGTGACAGTGGGAGTAATCAACGCTTGTGAGCTAGTTCAACTGGAGCTGGGCTGCTCCGATCATGTGACCTGCCTCACTCGCCACAATCTGTCACGTTTGTTTTCTTCTCGTTGTTTCTTTTGTAAGAAGCGTCACAAACACGCCCCCTGTTGGGGGGGATCTCCTGCCGTGTTATAACGTCAGCTCCTTCAGACGTTTAACCTGGAGACTGACCGGAGAGTTCATGTCTGAGAGCAGCATCACACACACACGCCGTTTATTCAACATGCAGAGATTTCCCATCTCTCCCAGTTCCTCTGTTGTCCTGTGGATTCAGGACAGTGGGATTATAAATATTTCATCACTCCCCATAATCTAATTATCTAACATTTCAAACGCGTGTTGTGTGACTGAAACAGTAACAGGGGGGATAGATCTGCTTTCAGGCGCCTGAAAAAAAATATAAATAACAAGTATCCTGAGGAAGGAACTACGACTTCCTGTGGCAGCACAATGTCAGCATGATATGAGATCATTTCGAAATATGAGGCAGTTTGATTTATAGCGGTCAAACCGGTTATCGTGACATGGGAAACATATCTTTGCCTGAGGGGGAAGTCACGAAGAACAACAGCGTGACTCACGGCGGGACATTCGCATCATATTCAGACACGTTCCCCCAAACAGCTCGACACTCGACTGAGAGGAAGCAATGACTTTCTGTCATCGTGCAACAACAATAACATCAAACCTCGTAGAGATTTGGTGCCTTCAAGTTTCTCAGAGACTGAAGATCAAACTAATAATCACACAAACATCTAAACTCATCATTTTTCATTTTTCCTGTCTATCCTCAGGAGGATTTATTTGCTGTGAACTCTGGGTAAATTAGGATGAAACCACTCAGCTGTATTCGACTTCTTCCCAATTACGAGTACTAGTACTCGTAATTACAAGAATTACCACAGTCATGAGGTCACGGTGACCTTTAACCACCAGAATCCAGCCAGTGAATCCTCTGTGAACATCTGTGCCACATTTGAAAGGATTCTCTCAAGGTGGTCGTAAAAGAAAATCTGTTTAATTTAATGTTTCTGAAGATTTAATGAAATTCTCTGTGGAGAAGAATTAATAATCCGTTCAGTTGTTTTTGTGTAATCTCGCTAACATCAGAGGGGTGATCCATACCCAGTGCACGCTGTATATACCCCAATTATATACTTTATCAATACCATTTAATAACGACGTCAGTGTGTATATGTCAAATATAAACCACATAAACACAAGTTAATCATCTGGCAGGGTAATAAAGACAACACCACAGTCTGAACGTCTTCTCAGCTGTGAGTTTACTGACCTGCAGCCTTCAGGTCCATCCCCGCCAGGTCTTTGGTGAGTTCACTGGTGCTGGCCACTGATGTCTCCTCCCCTGCGATGTCGGGTACTGCGTTCCTGCGGCCTGTGCGATCACAGTTGATGAAGTCTGAGTACGACGTCTCCACGTCCATCATCTGTCCATGACCAGCGCTCTCATTACACCTGCCGGAGGGGGGGAGGGGACTGTGAGACAGCTGCGGAGGTGTTGCAAGAAGCAGATAAATCACCCTGTTGTCTGTGGAGCCCGTGGGAGGTGTATTACTGTGTCCTGTGCGTTTCTACTTCAGCAGAAGCAACGTGACACACGAGAACACTGGCATCACAGAAAAACGATCAGTGCTGAGATCCTTCTGAAGCATGAAGGCCACTTCTATCTCTGCATACAAATTAACAGCACGACCAATATCTGTGCTGAGCCGTCGACCAAAAAACAAAAGCTGCACCAAACCGTGCTTCACTATTCCACTGGTCTTTTTTTTTTTAATGTCCTGAAGGTCCCGACACAGCAGGGATTCAAGAAAGAAGAAGAGTTGGAAAAGAGCCTGATGGAGACGAAGAGGAAGAGTTAAACAGGTTTAAACCATTTAAAGAACAAAGACAGGCGGAGCCACGAAAAGCCCCAACCCAAAAAAAAAAAAAAAAAAAAGGTCTGCCATTCATTCCCTCTGCAGTTTCCTGTTCCCAGTCCATATTTAACTGGGTCATGGATCCTGCCAACCACTAAAACACGACTCCACAGCTGGGAACTCCGCAGAGAGCCGAGGACAAAAAGTGAGACTGCTCCAGAAAAGACGAGGAGAAAGAAAAGATCAGAAAACTGCAAAGAAAGAAAGACTGGAAATGTCGTAACGGCTGCTCCTTTACATCTTCGGTCCCTGGGCAGAGGCCTCACTGCTGTGTGTGCGTGCGTGCACATTTGTGTGTGTGTGTGTGTGGCTGGTGGCAGCTTGTTTCCAGTTGGAGGTTTCACCAACTCAGCTGCAAAAAAGACGGCTGCAGACTTTTTTTAATCGCACTTGCAGAGGGAGGAGATTCATCCTTTGAGCTGCAATGAACATTTTTTACCGTTTGCACGTCATATTTTTAACGAGAGCTTTATTCCATCCCACCTGACAGTGTAAGAACAGTACCTGGCACAAATTCTGAGTCCTTTTTATTTATCTGGCAGCAACAGTTTAGTCTGCACGCATATCCAGGACACACCCACCCCCGGCTGTGATTTTATGCTGGAACACTGTAATTTCCCTTCTGGGATGAATTAAGTATTTATCTCTGTATCTACGGGCAGCGTGACAAACTACGTTACAGCTACAAACCTCCATCTCCAATAAAGCATTCAACACCACGACCATGACAGAAGCTGAGCAGCGACGCTCTGAATCTTTAAAAAACCACGGAGGTGTTTGAGACCCCGAAGGGAAACGAGCAGAAGAATGGAAGATGAATAAAAAAAGGAGCTGGCAGCGACGGACAACCTGACCCAGGGCCAGTCTGTTCCCAAACGCTTTCACTCACGTTCTTTTAGTCTCATTCAAAGAGTTGGGGGGTTTTTTTCCTATGCACCAAAAAAAAGGAAGCACCCGGGGTCAATCCCCGAGAGGTCACGAGCCACGCACACGTACGAGGCGCGGTTCGGGAATGTGAAATTCGCAGTAAAGGGCAGCGTTCGAGCCCCGTGGGTAAGAGCGGTACCTCAGGAAATGTCACTGTGTTCTGTGTGGCTGGCATTTCCCTGCAGAGCGCTCGCACCAACTACAAGAGCCACTCTGTGTTTCCGACTGCAGACGGCGGCGCGCTCCTCTGACAGGCCGTCATCTACGCGGCCGGGCTGTGCAGTCGTCAGAGGAGCAAATCGCCGTGGGAGGCCGGCGTCTCTCACAGGTTCATAATTACACTTTCTACCTTTTCCACAAGCTTGAGTTCAAACAACTGAGACGTTCGCTAAACAGCAATTAGTGAGGCGTTTGAGGAAAACACACCTTTCTGACTCAACTGTCCTTTAAATTTAAATTCAAGTCACAAACATAGACTTTACTCATCTCCTGTAAATCAATAGATCGGAGGAAACCAGTTTCTCCTTCCGTCTGACCCACGTTATACGTTTATCTGACGTGTTCGTACATTATCCAAAATGTCTCTGACAAACTCACAAGTTTATTAAAGGTAATGTTACGATTCTGGTGAAAAACGAGCTGGTTAACGAGTTAAAAGTTAACGTGCTGCTGCTGCAATTAGCTTCACATTCACTTCAACATCGGAAACCACAGAGGGAAATAAAGACAGATGTCATGACAGCTCCCAGCAGTGAAGCCAAAGCGCCTCGATCGCCCCCTTGTGGCAGGCTGCAGTAATGGTCATAAAAACCTGCCTCCTCCGTGTTAGTGGGTGGGATCAAAACAAAAAGTCAAAGTACACGTCAGATAAATGTTGATTTGTCGAACTCTGCCTTTAAATTGCAGCTCACGTGAAAATCATGACTGCAATTTAACTAACAGATGTAAAACTCAACCAGCAGCGACCAGATCTACAGTGTGTGTGTGTGTGTGTGCGTGTGCGTGTGTGTGTGCCGTGTTATGTTTGCCTCTTTCTACTCCACTGGCCCAGTTGTTATGCCGTTTATGGGAGCTCCATCAAATTGCCATTTGTTTGTTTAATTAGTCGGCTTGCCTTGTGCGTGTGGATCCAATCCTACCATGAGATCATTAACAGGTTTCCATGGAGGGACGATGATGGTGATGATGTTCTGCCTGCTGCTCTTCGGCACGTGTTTACACCCTCCTCTCCGCCCGACGGTCTGGCCTCAGCTGTGGTGGGAGCAGTTTAACGACGCCGCATTTTAAAAATCACATTATCCCCGATAGCCGCAAAGCTCGCCGAGATGATGGAGTTGTTTTTGTGGCGCTGGCTGACTGAGGCAGTGTCGGATTCTGTCCTTCACCTGCTCTGATTTGTATGATGCAAATAAACATGTGAAGTAACATGAGACGAGCAGAGGAGACACGGATGACTCTGTGCATGACTGAACTCGTTTCAGCTCATTAAAGGGAATTATAGAGTCAGTCACTCATCATCAAGAGCAACAACTAACAAAGAGATTTCATTTCAATTAAAACAATAATAATACACGTGTGTAAGTATTTTATATTTAAATTGTACATCAGGTTTGAAGCATATTTACAGCTCACAACTATTTTTGTTTTGTTTCTTTTTTCTTCTTTTGAATAATTATTTTATCTGGTGCCTTTGAACATTTAAATGAGATTATTTG